TTACATCCGTCATCAGCTGTTAACCGTAGCCGCGGAGATCAAAGCGTCCTTTTATTTTATTCATACATTTCCTCTCATACAGCAAGGAAAGCGAAGGTCAAAAGACCTGAAATAATCTCCTCAATATACTCTACTAGAATCTGGAAGTGAATAAAAGTCATGTGTGTGAAGCTTTCATGAAACATAGTTTGGGGATTTATGTCCTCACGTGTCACTGTTATGGATAAAGGTATCGCTTATCTGTTTTATTTGGCAAATAACTCATGCTTGGGGATTGACTGGGTACATTTCACACCCAATTATTTTAGTTTTTCTCTCTACCCACATTATATACAGTAAACAGCCTGTGTAAGTTTAGTGATGAAAACCTGAAAAACTGACTTAAATTGAATACATTTGCTCCAAACATGTACAAGTTGAGCCTCACTGAGCAAGATAAATGTGGTTTATTGTCACAGTCTCAGTTATAATTACATTGTATTATTGCTATGACAGTTGCTATAGGAGAGATTTTGGCAAAAAAATAAAATAAAAACAAGGTGTTTCTGTAGCCATCTGAAGATCAGAAGTGTTTTTCCTGTTTCTAAGAGTGGCTAAGAGAAACAGACCTATTTGTCATATTATTTTTACAGTGCGTAAAAATAATATGTAAAATAAAAGTAGGCCTACATTGTTTTACATTTTGACACGTTACAGCACATAAAGTTGATTGTAATTTTAGGGATGGAAGACCAACAGAAAGTAGTGTGTAGTTGTAAGGTTTTCAGATGTTTTCACAAATTAAATCCAAAGCTTGTGGCACACATTTGTATCGAATCTGTACTTTGTAGATTAGTCTTGTACACAATCTCTACCGGTTTTGCACATTTGGAAATTTGAACCCTTTCCTCTTTACAACCTCTTTACAACTTTAAAAATCTTTCAGATTATATTTAAAAAAATGTATCACAAGTTCCCAATTATATTTAGGTTTGGACATTGGGGTGTCCTAATGTCTAAATGTCCTTAAACTAAACCAGGCTGAGGTCATGATGCTGGAAGTTGAACTTTCACCCCATCTCAAGTCTCCTGAAGCCTCTGAAAGGATTGTCCAGTTATAGCTCTATCCTCCCACTAACTCTGACCTGTTCTCTCTCTTTTGAAGAAAGACATTCTCATAACATGGTGCTGCCATGTTTCTCTGTATTGATGGTGTGTTGTTTTTGTAGTGGTTGTTTTTTCACCACACAGTGTTGTGGATGTAGGTAAAAAATAAATAAATAAAAAAAAAAACAATCCCCAATATTTGTTGGGGATTTGTGAATGGAAATATTTTGGGCCTTTTCCACATTTTTGGATGATGCCTGCTATAAAACCCATAAGAAAATATTTTAATGGATTGTTAACAGAACTAAATGACTGATACAATGTTCATGTGTAGAGTCAAATCATTCTGAACAGGAACATCCACTGCTCTGTTCCAAGTTTCTGTCGCTAAAAGCAGAGCAAGTACTCGCATACCTGAACAAATAAAATGACTGGAAAAACTGTTTGACTTTCAGTCTCCTGGTTTACACATCTTCAACAAAAAGGCTTGTCTTTCTTTTTATATTTCCACTGTAAATCAAGTCTAGGAGGAAAATGCTTTCCTTATAATTGACGGTTATAAAACATTTCTACAGAGGGCCTGTGGCGTTGGCGTGTAAAATAAAAGCCCCAAACAGCTATCCACTGTTTACACAAATAGAAACCGCAGTTGGCTTTTCGTCTTTGGGATTGCTCTCTCACAAACAATAAAATGATGCAAGAATAAGAACACTTACTTTCCAAAAACCTCAGATTTCTCACAATCAGTCTTCTTTTTCTGTTTTGAAACATTACATTTTTATGCTAAAATTCAGTTTTGTATGAAGGCTATTATAAATCTAAGTTGATTTAGTAAGGAAATGTTGTCCAACAGGGCAGTGTTGGTGACTTATGCAGGCCGACCTTGGTTAAAGGATGTTCGGACCAAGCAAAGTTATAATTTCATTGCAGGGACCTTGCTGAATTGTGGTGGATCGTCTGCTCTCCCTTGTCATTTGCTCGTCTGTGTGTGGCTTTCTGCTTGCATAAATGTGTGTGTCCTACATTCTCGGTGACGCACAGACCTCTCTGCTGTCTGGACACTCCATTTTTGTGCATGTATGCACACGTGTGTCCTTTCTTGTACTCGCATCCTTTTAACTGTGGCTCATCTCATTTACAAGTCAATCAAATCTCATTATGAAAATCTGAATTTATTGAACATGTAAGTCCCACTATGTAGATTTATTACTCACTGTTTTTTAATTTGAAAAAAAAAATATTTTTACTACAGAGAAGATTCTTTTGTGGCTTTTTTTTAAGACCTACAAAAACTTCTGCAGACAGACCACAACACACATTTGACTTTTATGTCAATATTTTAGTAGGGAATTCCATATTCTAAGGATATAATCTGCTAAAACCATCTTAAAATGTGATATTGTTAACCAACAGTAGGCAGAGCAGCGCTTTTATATTTATTGTGTTCATCTGTGTCTGGAAAGTCCATTAAGATGTGCACAGTGAGGGGTAAAGGTGGTCTGACCTTGACCTCTCAGTCACTTAACACTCCTCAGAGAAAAGGAACCTACTGACCCCTGACTCGCACCAAACTTGCACACCCTTTTGATGTCATTAGAACGGTGTGTGTGATTTGTGTGATTTTGCACATATGGATTCCCATATGTTCTTGCTTGTGTGTGCATTAAGTTGCAGTTTTAATGCCATTTAGAGCAGCTTTGATCTTTGTGGATTCAATAGTAATGAAATGCACCAACTTGCCAGTGATCAGAATCTGCCAATTTTACCTCCATCGGCTCTGATTGGCAGATCAAACCTTGATTTGCCAATCAAGGTTTCTGCTTGGTTTCATCTATTTCTTTTGTGCATCAAAACTGCGAAGTTCCCCATCTTTCTGTCTATAAATGTATCATTCAACAGCTTTTTATTATAAAAAGTCTCATAATGCAGGGACAGGTACTTCTCAAAAAGTTGGAACATCATCACAATGTTAATGTATTTCAGTAATTCATTTCCAAATGTGAAAATGATGATACAGATTCATCACATGCACCTTAATACGTTTCAAGCAACTATTTCTGTTAATTTAGGTGATTACAGTTCATGAAAATATCAAAATAGATTTTCCAAAGTATTAGAATTTTATCTAAATCCAGTCAAAATGGAAATTTAATGAATGTGATTGCCATTTCTGGCCTCCACAATTATACAGACAGTCATTGACGCTCTCCAGGAGAAATTGTGACCCACGAAAGATTTAAGAAAGTTTTCACAAAACACTGTATCCAAGTTCAGCTAAACTCAACTTTATTAACACTCTGACAGATTTATATTGCTAAATATTTTTTTCCTTCAACCATGATTTTTGTTTCTTATTGAAAATGGGACAGTCCTCTTTGCCATCACCCTAATTGTTAGCTCTCTTGACAGAGTATCTATAATATTCAAGGCGAAACTCCATTTGGGTCAAAACGTTAATATTACTTCCTGTCAAAAGTGTTGGTAAAAATAAAATATTAATTTCAAGCTAAATCTGCCTGGAATATAAACAATGTTAGGCTGAACTGTACATGCATAGAAAGTTGAGTGGATGAAAACATTATTAGAAAGAGATGCACAATCAACAAGAATAACCACTACCTGTATAAGATTTTTAAGCAAAGTCCATTTAAATGTTTGTAGGATATTTGTTAGAGTCAGTGCCATCAGTTCTTCAAGAACCACCAAACATAGACGTATTCAGTTAATAAAATCTATAGGAAGAGCAGAAAGACATGGGGTCTCGGGTGTTTGATGTCCATCCATCCATCCATCCATCCATCCATCCATCCATCCATCCATCTATTTCCTTCCGCTGATCCGGGGTCGGGTCACGGGGGAAGCAGCAGATGTCAAATGTGACAATTGCACAACCACTGATTTTGGAAACAACATCGTCTTCTGGCGTTGTCTTTCTGTGAGGACAGGGGAAAGAACTGAATTTTGAGGTTTTTTCGCTAGCTGTGGTTGTAAATATTAAGAAATAATTGTATAAAGTTGAATGGAATGGATCTATATAATATGAGTAGCCATTTTTGAGTTGAATTATTGAAAATGTTTATTGTTGAATGCTTTTTGCTAGTCTTTACAGTCCTTTTCATTTCAGCAGGATTTTTCCACTGGTTATTCCAGCTATAGAGTCTAAAGCATGAGGATATACTTTACATCCCCCCAGAAATGCGCCTCTATGCCCAGTGGCATCATGTCCTCCCCTGTACTATTTAATGTGGCTTTGCCTGGCATTAAAGTCCCCATATGGCATGACTTAAAGCTCATGACTAAGTGATCTCACGCTGAGCGAGTAGCTCGCTAAGATGCATGCGGTTGGAGTGTGCATGGATGTATATATAGAACAGGAGAGGTGAGAGATCAGGCCACTTTGAGCAAGACGAAGGTGGTGGGGAGCGAGTTTAAAAGAAGTAAAAAGTTGGTGTAATGCGCAAAGAAAAACCCCGATATGAAGCTGGATTTGAATACTTGTGAAACCGTGATTGCTCTTTCTGCACATGTTTTAAATTATGCCCTGAAGTGACATTTCTCCGACATCAGCCAAATATTAATTCCTAATGTGGTTTACATATGTGCTGTGAACTGTGATTTGCATGCATGGGTGTTTTAAATCTCAGTCTTTGACAGGACTGTGACTTATCGTTAGCCAAGCAAAGGCAGCAACCAGAACCAGCCTCTCTTCTAACTGTGTGGTTTGGTCTAATAGCCAACCTTGGACTGACCTCTAGAGGTGGTGCTGTGCACTGCAGCCTTGTGGTTTCAACAGGCTGCTTTTCTTCCTGCTTCCATCTGCTTCTGCTGTTTGTTAAAGTGGCCCAGAAAGATGTGGTAATAGACTACAGATGACTTTAAAAGTGATCCTCCTCTCCCCTCTGTTTTGCTGTCAGGGTGGATCTGAATGAAGATGGATTCTGCCAGCCGTACAGAGGCATAGCCTGCGCTCGTTTCATCGGAAACCGCACCATCTACGTCGATTCCCTGCAGATGCAGGGGGAGATTGAGACTCAGATCACAGGTGAGAAAAATGCACTTGTGCTGCAGTTTTAGTGCCTTGAATTATTTCTATTTATTCAGTTTTGTTTGCATATTTGCTTTGACTGAATTCATTACAAGTACATGTAACTTATCGTTATTATTAGTATTATTTTATTCAACCAGGAAGGACCTATTGATATTTAAAAGAATGACATGGACAAAAACAGCATATTACATTTTATAAACTACAAATTCAAGAAAATTTATTTCTCTTTCTGTAAAAGTTTCCTTTACAGAAGTATTAACAACTTTGTGTTCGCTTTTGAGTGAAGAGACTTGAGTCGGCTGATTCCTCTCTAGACATTTATTAGGAACATCAGAGTGAGGAGTACAGGTTCAAAAAAGGGCCAGGCTGGAAAAGGCAGTGTTCTAGCATTCAGATCTTAGTTATAGCTTAGACTGACATCAAACAAGATAAACATAATGCGTTAGCTGCGTAGTCATTTTTGCTCTATCGCTGATCCATAGCATGATCCATGGTGTTACCTGATGTGTGTCCTATACAGATACTTCATTGATCCACCTTACTATCAGTTGTCTGGCCTCTGCTCAGTCATGTTCTTTGTACCACTGACTGGAGCAGAGGTAGGTCAGCTGGCCATCTGCTGTAGTTCTGCCTGGTCTCACCCAGCTGGTTGTGTTTATCTAAACCACTGAGTCACACCTGATTTTCCACGTTTTCTTCTTATGTTAAAGTGGCACTTAAAAAAGCGCTTATACTCCTCTACAGGTACCCTCCCTTCCCTGTTGAATTATAGTTTTTCTACTTTAACAATTTGAATATGAAGAAATAGTAACATGAACATTTCTTTCTATGGCAAATATCATGGACAAACTGACACATTGTGAATATTCCAGTGGTGATGTAGCTAGGTTAAGAGTTTAAACAGAAATGCATGTGTGGTGTACCGCAGTCTGTTAGATAAATAAATCCACACCAATGCTTTTAGCACACATTGACAATGAAATGCTGAAGTGGGCAGAGAATGGACAGACTACTGGGTTTCAGCTGTGAATAGCTTCATTAGAAACACAAACACTTCCAAATACAACAGCTTCAAAGAGGATTGCTCTGCACTATGCCTATCAACTGCCAACCAGATGCCAACAATGTGGGTTGTTTAGCTGCTTAATTGCTGGAACTTTTCTTTTTCATGTATAAATACATGTGCTTTTTGGTTGCAATGTAAGTAAGATTTATGGGATTGTTTGTAATCTATATGCATTACTTTTTCAACAAATAGAAATGCTAATAGAAATGCTCTGTGTATTATTAAGAAAAGGACAACATTTAAAAAACAACAAAGCAAAATGTATTTTTATCACAGCAATTGTTAGCATATCTACTGTATGATTTAGGGCCCCATGTGGGTTTTGCTCAGGCTAAGCGACACGGTGGGGTATTAGCACAGAACCTGACAGGGTTGACTAAAAGCGAACCATTTTGGTAAAACCTACTGGGTCCAAATGTGTCTCAAATATACACTAATGACATCAGTTCATGCTGGCTAGTACATGGACCCCACTTTTTATTTGCAGTTGTCCTACATTAATGTTTTATGAGCAATTAACTTTGTGAGAATTGGCCATGAAGATCCAATTCCCAGCCATATAGGGCTCTGTTGGTTAGGTAGGCGCTACAGAAAGTTGCAAGAGTATGAAAGAACCCCCAGCATTCATTGCTACAAGGTAACTTAAAGAATTCCTTGTGATGTGAAAATATTTTTTTATAGTAAATCCCTCTTAAAGTGTAGCCATCTTTATATTTGGCTTCTCTGCATATCACTAGAACCTTCTGTGAATGAGGTTTTTAATCATGTTCGTTGGGTCTGGGAAAGCCGGCAGGCCTTCAGAATTCAGTGAGAGTTCAGCTTTGTGTTCTCCATTCATGGAGCACACATGGCCCAAAGAGCCACACTGTTATAGATGTCTGCGTTTCCGCTTTGTCTCTTTTGTTTTGCTTTTTTTGCGTGCAACATGTCCTCCGAAGGCAGTTGAGTTTGAATGTTATTGATGACATTCATGCAGCTGTCAGCTTCTCTCCCTGAACAGTTCACGGACAAGCCGTCGTCTGAACCCAGACTTTAATCTGGAACATCAAGGACATGTGATGCAGCGGATTTATATAGCCACTGTATCATAATAAGCTGATGGTAGAGCTGTAAATCATATATGTTTCAGCTTTGGAATACATATTCAGCATCATGGAGTAACTGTCACCTTTATTAGTCTTTATAATCACTTTTATTCAAACAGCATGTGCAGCAGGAACATTTGGATCGTGACCAACTTCACTTAACTTTTTATTCTTTTGTCGTCTTCTCTACTCAAGACAAAGCAATTGCACTGGTCATGGCAGCGACAGAAAAAGCATATGCTTGTAATAACTTCAGAGCCAAGACTTACACATTGAAAACTGCATCTGTGGTCATCAGTTTTGTTTTTTTTCCCTTGAATTATTGTATTGTATTATTATAGGTAGCAGAAGAAGCCAGTAAAAATAATGGGATGGCATCCATAAGGAACACTGTTGTAAACTTTTGACAATCTTTAAAATATCATATGGGCTACCGTACTTCGTTTTAAAAATAGATTTAAATGTCTTAATTTCCTTCTTTTTTCATACTAACATTTCAAACTTTTCCCTTTCTTGTTTCCAGCTGCCTTCACCATGATTGGAACTTCCAATCATTTGTCGGATCGTTGCTCCCAGTTTGCCATCCCCTCCCTTTGCCACTTTGCCTTCCCAACATGTGACCGCACCTCAGGCATTGACAAACCTCGGGACCTTTGTAAGGACGAATGTGAGATCCTAGAGAATGATTTATGCAAGACGGAGTACATCATTGCCCGCTCCAACCCCATCATACTGAAAAGCCTAAAACTGCCAAATTGTGACGAGCTAGCTGCCTTCGACAGCCCAAAGGCAGCCAACTGTTTAAGGATTGGAATTCCCATGGCTGAACCCATTAACAAGAGTAAGACCACTCTATTGGTTTGCTTCATTGTTGACCACAGAGATCAATGCATCTGTAGCATTCTTTATTTAGCACTAATCATAAACATTAATTCTGCTAATGTTAAAGTACTACATCTAAATGGTATTAAACAGAAGCTAATGCGCTAAATTCAATTAAATTTTGTTCTTTGCTTGAAAGACTGCAGCACTCAAGCATCAATAACGTTTAATTTAAGTTCTATAATGTTCTATAATACCCTTAGATTTTGTTTTATCTTGTTGTCTGCTGTCCGTGTTTTATTTAGTTTGAAACAAAATTCTAGCGGGAAAAACAAGAGAGAACTTGATTAAAGGAAACAAACTGTTGTTCAGTCTTCACCCCCTTCAAAATATGAGCATGAACGTCTTATTACTTGAAGAATTCTTAAGTAGATAATCAAAACTTAAACACAGATGTTGAACTTCATTCAAATGAAAGTTTACAAAACAGCCAAGTAAATTAGCGTTTTTTTAGTTTATCCAGAAAATGTAATTTAGGGGACGCTAAATGTTTTTAACGTTAGCAAATTGAAAAAATCAGCTTTATTATTAGTGGATTATTGTAAGTGAGCCCACCTCTGTAAATTAGTTTTTATTTACATACAGATTTCCCAGTATTCTACAATATATGACTTTTTGATAAGTGATGAGCATTGTGATCTCCTTACCTGTTCACTTTCCTGCATTTATGATTTTTGTAGTAAATATCTTCATTATATCTGTCACATTTGACATATTCTTTTTTTTTATAAAGAAAATAATCTGTTTTTCTGTTTACAGCAATTGAAGTCGGCATTAACAAATGCTATGTGTCTGTGCATACGTGGAAGGCCTAGAGAGCCCAAAAAGCTCTTTTTTTGGTCAGATCTAATTTTCCACTTTAAAAAAAGCAAAAGAAAGGCAGACTTTCTTTAATTTGTATATATAAAAAGTGCTTGGCTCTAAATTGGGATGTTATTTAAACTACTAATTTGTTAAATGAACGGTTATTGGGACAGGGAGTAATTACCTCATCTTTATGCTTCCCAGGTCACAAGTGTTACAACAACACTGGGGTAGATTACAGAGGGACAGTGAGCGTGACCAAATCGGGCCGTCAGTGTCAGCCGTGGAACTCGCAGTATCCTCACAGCCACACCTTCCTGGCTGTCCGCTACACAGAGCTGAACGGGGGCCACTCTTACTGCCGCAACCCGGGGGGAACCCAAGATGCCCCCTGGTGCTTCACGCTGGATGACGCTGTCCCCATGGAGCTCTGCGACATTCCAATCTGTGGTGAGGAACTGGAATATGAAAGCACACGTTTCTAATTTTATAGTTGTTGCATATCATCCTAGCTTTTTATGCTGCTTCTTCACACTAGTGCATTTTAAAGCACTTTTTGCTTTAAAAGTCGGAGCTCTTCTTACTGATGCAGTTTACCAGTCCTTGGCTTTATTTAAACAGCATTTCATTTACTGGGAACCTGGAAGAGTTTAAGTAGAGAAAAAAGTCAGACTTGGAAGGAGGGAGGTGGAAGCGATGGATCACCCTACAGGATGACACTCTGTATGAAATACTTACTTATGTAAAGCCAAAAAAAGCAACTACAGTGCATTTTAGTACAATTCCTAAACCAAAGAAAAAGAAAAAACACTTTTTCAAATCAGTTTCATGGAGAACATTTTAATTGCTTAAAATAAACAAGCTCTTCATTTCGTTTTTTTGTCTTCTTCTTCGACATCTCTGAAATATGCCCTTTGTTTATGGCTGTAATATATTTGCTCATTTGTAGAATTACTTACTCCATGAACATTTTTCAAGTGAACACAGGGTTTCCTTTGAAAAAAGTATGAAATCATAGTCAATTAAAAGCTATTAACTGATCCTGTGATTGACTGGTGGACCTGTCCAGGGTGTTTCTGGGCTCTCACCCAGAGAAAGCTGGAGATAAAACCATGCAAGGATAAATGAATATAGATGATGGATCAGTGGATATAAATGTTTGAAATGTTTTTCATATAGATTTTGGTTAATACTATACACATAATTAAATTTTATGATATTTAGTTGATTTTATAAGAAAGATATAGAAAACACAAAAGAACTGAGCCACGGAAAGGAAAACAATCAACTGTCTATGCAAGGATATCGTCAACTATAACTTCATCAGTGGGTTTGTCCAAGGAACAGACTTATTTGAAAATAGAGAGAATGAGCAAGGAATACTTTCCATAGGAAAAACAGGGAGCAAGAAGGCAGCAGTAATGGAACAGGAATACTTTCAAGATCGAGGAAGTAAACGGGAACAAGGACATCAACTAATGCATCAGTGGCTCCGCCTACAAACAGATACATGAAAATGGTCAAACATTGGAGCAATGATCAAGTAGTAATATCTATGAAAAGGAAAATAAAGAAAGTTCATGGTTAATAGCAGTAACAGTTCCTTCAATGGATTTATTAAAGAGACATGCAGCTGAATACAGATGCTCTGGAAAGATGTGAATAATGTGCAGTGTTTGCAAAGTTCATGACAACAATAGCTTCACCAACTGTTCCAAAAGTACTGAGTGTACTTCTAAAACAAAAGATCGACAGAATTGCCATTATAAATAACTTTGGCATAGAGCATAGTTGTGCCATAAACACTTTTTTTTTTGTTGTTGTTCTTTTTCAGACCATAAAGATAAGTCAGGTGGCAGCATAGATATCCTCAAGATTTTAGTTCCCAGTGTGTCGATCCCGTTGGCCATAGTTTTGCTTTTCTTCTTCATCTGCGTGTGCCGCAACAACCAGAAGTCTTCCAGGCCCCCAGCTGCTCGTCCACCGAAACCAGTCCGAGGTCAAAACGTTGAGATGTCTATGCTCACGACTGCCTACAAACCAAAGGTATGACACATCCCAACGCACGACATGGCGATGGGGTAAATGCTCTTTCTCTGCTATAATTTATTTATTTGGAGTTGGGGGCGGGGGAAAGACATATAATAAAATTGTATTATATTCAAACATGATTGCATGTAAGATTTTCCTGTTGTTTCGGGGTGCTGTTTGGGGTGTAACCTTTACTACGGTTGGTGTGTATTTACATAAAATGTGCCTAAAAATGACATTTTAAAGGACATTACTTTCAGAAAAACACTTGCACCCCTGAACACCTCTGATGGAGTGCCCTCCAGATTTCCACTCTCACATCTTAGACAAATCATAAGACCCCAGTCTGAATAACACACATTAATTTAATAAAGTACTTTAATCTGAACTGCATTTTTTGGACCCGATTGCAACTTCTCGTAAAGAAAGCCCCTTTGCTCTTTGTCTGTAAGAGCAGTCTAGAGAAGTCAAAACACCGGTGCAGCACTCTGTGCGTTGGCTGGGACGCTTCGCAGCATGCCAGGGTTACAAGGTTCAGTGTGTGGAAATGACCTGCATGAGGCAAATCTTCAGATCTCTATCATCAGATCTCAGCAGGTCCAGGAATGTCCAGCTGCAGCTCCTTTGCTCTGTTTATTTTTCTCCCACTGTCTGTTTTTCCTCAGCTCCCCTTCACACTCCTGCTTTCACTTATCCCATCTTCTTCTTGCTCTTCTTCTGACGTCCTCTCCTTCCATCTTAGTCTCTTTGACTCACAGAGACTCTTTGTCGTGCAGATCATCAGATTTGCACTAAAATGATGTAGCTCACATCAGGGCCTTAACTTGAAGGTTGCCATTCTCAGCCATTCCATCTACGTTTATCATTTTCTTAGCATTTTTACCAGTTGAAGAGGAGAGTATGTGATGATCTATACAGTCATTTGTCAAAATAAAAGTTCTAAGATAAGCAGAGTATAATAATGTTACTTGTTTATTTAAGGGATTTTGGCAAGAACAAATGTTTCTCTTACTAAAAAATGGACACACTCTGTATGTTTGGATTCAAACATGTATCAGTAAAACATGAAGATCAAAGGAAAGGAAGTATTTGTTGTGACAAGTTTGCATTTGATAAGCTATCCAGTTCAGATTCTACAATTTTTACAAGTATGTTGATAACATTTATCAGTTGGTTAACATTTTGAAATTTATGAGGTCTGCAAGTTTTTTAAACCTGCAAATATCCTCATACAGTGCTTTGTAAGACAATTCATTCACTCATTAAATCCAATATGTTTTATTGGAATTTTATGTAATAGACCAACAGAAAGTAGTGCATAATTGTGTGAACCAGGTTATGAATGCTTTTGCAGGGGAATCTCCTAGTATTATTTCCAATTAAACCTCTTTTGTTTTATTTAAGTCATTATTTGAAACTGCAACTGTGCTGCTCATCAGGCTTTTTTGTTTTTCAGGGTCATGAAGGGGCCATACCCTCTAATGATTCTTTTAGACACACATGTTTTACACACACACTAACAATCACACACACAAACCTGTGGTGGTGTGAAGAGGATCTGAGGCTTTGGGTGTGGGAGTAAAGAAGGGGTGAAACAAACCCATAACTGAAAACATCTGCTTTTCTCCTAATATTCAGCACATAATCACACCCCCCTCAGAGCTCACGCTGACCTGTGTGTGTGTGTGTGTGTGTGTGTGTGTGTGTGTGTGTGTGTGTCACGCTTACAGAGGAATTTCATTATTCAACTCAGAGTTCCTGGAATCTAAAAATCTCTGCCAACCTTCGCTCACTTTGCATCTTTTCTCAGATCTAACCTTGCGCACTCCGGAGGAGCTCCGTCTCGTACACACACACACACACACACACACACACACACACACGCAATTTACCCTCACTGCATTTCATTAATGTCCATACTAACACACATATAGAAATAAGAATAATATAAACCTGCTATTGCTGAGTTTTATAGGTTGTCCCACATTTTTTCAAACTATTATTGTAGTTGACCTCATCTTGTGTGATTTCTGTGACACAAATATGACATAATTATTACATTATTCATTGACCATTCATGGTGAATGTCCTTGCTATAGATGATCTGGTCAAAGTGCATAATGATGGCTGTTTTCAAAACAACACATTGTCCGATTAAAAGTATTACCAAAAGGAAATGAGACTCTTGCCATTGTTTCCAAGTTTTTGTATTGTGCTTGTAAATACCAACAGCAATACGTATTAAAATAATAATGTGGCACACAAAGCCCTCCTGCACAATTAACCTAACAGTGTTTTCTGTTATTTCTGCTGTGGATTTTTTTAAGTAAACTGACTTGGGAGTTAATTTTCCCCAAATGCTGCTTAAGCTGAGAGCCAAATCACATTTTTCATCACAGGAAATGTGGCTGGATTTCAAAAATGTCCCTCGCCGCTTTCACAAAACTGTAAGAGGAATTATTGGGTGGTGATGTAATGGACTTGAGCAATTATAAATTGCCTGGGAGATTTATTTTCCTCCTCTTAATTTTACACCTTCGGCTTTGGTGTAACTGGGCTGTCAGAATCCGAAAATAATGACCTGGTTTTTCTGCCACCTTTCCGCAACTCGTTGATTTTAACTTCCGCTTGTCTTCACAGAGTAAAGCCAAAGAGCTTCCCCTGTCAGCGGTGCGTTTCATGGAGGAGCTTGGGGAATGCACGTTGGGGAAGATCTACAAGGGTCATCTGTACCTGCCAGGCATGGACCAGGCACAGCTGGTGGCCATTAAGACTCTGAAGGATATTTCCACCGCCCAGCACTGGACAGACTTCCAACAGGTGAATAACTGTCCTCAGAGATTTTTCACTTTAGCGTACATGTTATCCTTTCTAGTTAACTTATCCATTGAAAGTGGTTTCAATTTTATTTACATATCTATTTTGCAATACCTCTATTAATTTCTATTTATAAATTAAAGGAATACTTCATACTGCTTAAAATCACTAATGAAAAGACGAGTTCACTTGAAAAAGTTTTCAAACTAAACAGTCAAGGTTGACTGGGTGATGAGCCTGCTTTTAAAGAAAACCTGTTCCAGCAAGCTGTGGTATATCTCAATTTGAAACAAATGACCAACTATTAGGTACAAATTTCCTGACACAGGTTTAAAAAAGAAAAATTCAGTCAATTGTATCTCTCGTCTGTCTTCTGTTGCAGGAGGCCACCGTGCTGACGGACCTTCAGCACCCAAACGTGGTCTGTTTGCTAGGTGTGGTTACCCAGGAGCAGCCAGCCTGCATGCTGTTCGAGTTTCTGCCACAAGGGGACCTCCACGAGTTTCTGATCATGCGTTCGCCGCACTCTGACGTCGGCTGCAGCAGTGACGAGGACGGCACTGTAAAATCCAGCCTGGATCATGGAGACTTTCTGCATATGGCCATACAGGTGGATTTAAATGACACATTCAAATATGCGTGTTTTTTATTATTATTGCATGCCTGGAGTCATTCTTAAACTTAATGGCAAACACAACATGATACAGGCAATTAAAACTTGATAAAACTTTCCCTTGTTTTTGAATGTCATTTCTATATGAATTCAAAAATGTTGTTATTTCGACTTTTACCACAGTTTGTTTTTTCTTCCCTTCACATTTCACATGTTAAAGGCACTTAAAATAACTGTGTGGCAAATAAATGGATAACTACCTACACTTTTTCTTTAATTAGGTTTCTGCAGGGATGGAATATCTAGCCAGTCACTTCTACATCCATAAAGACCTCGCAGCCAGGAACATTTTAGTCGGTGAGCAGCTCCATGTGAAGATTTCTGACCTGGGTCTCTCCAGAGAGATCTACTCCTCCGACTACTACTGCATCCGGCCCAAGACTCTGCTGCCCATCCGCTGGATGCCCCCTGAGGCCATCGCCTACGGGAAGTTCACCACGGACTCGGACATCTGGTCGTTTGGGGTGGTGCTGTGGGAGCTCTTCAGCTACGGCCTGCAGCCCTACTACGGCTTCTCCAACCAGGAAGTGATGGAGATGGTGAGAAAGAGGCAGCTGCTGCCCTGCCCTGAGGATTGCCCACCAAGGTGTGTTGCTGCACAGTGTATTATGATGAGATGATATAGCTCTAACTGTTCATTTGGCTCTTATGTTTGGAATAGTCTGGAAAAGAAGTTACCAACTCTGGATACGAATGGAAAAGGCTTTGGAATTACAGAATTTATTCCCAGATGTTGTATCCATCCATCTGTTTGTTCATCAGTCGATCAGCCACTGATTAGATATTTTTTTGTAAATTTATATGTATACATGATATAAATATAAACACATTTGTTTTTCTAAAAAAAGACAGGTTAAAACGGTTCACTGTATTAGGACTGAAAATGTTCAGATACATTGAGTAGAATCTGCACGCAAGAAGGTTTACAACTATCAGGATCATTTTTTAATCATTTTAACTGGATAAATGTTTTTTTAATGCAGAATATAATCCTCTGTGACACCTTAAAAAGCATTTTCTCTCTGTTTGTTGATGTCCATAATTCTCTAAGTCAAAACTGCTGGATTTATACTGTGATTAACGTATGCACCAATAAGATGGCATCTGCAGGTTTTTATTTAGTGTCACTCGAAAGGGGAGTTAAATACATGTGCATGTCACTTTTTATTTTTATTCTAAAAAATCAATGTAACATTTTTCTCCCATGTCACAATTGGGTTTGTGACGTAACAAACCCATAAAAAATACTTTGTGATTGTAAAATGAAAAGGTGAAAAGGATCTCAGGCGGTGAACACCGATGCAAACTTTTTCCAATTTTGTGTAAAGACAATATTTAAGATGTCTTTTTCTTTTTTGCACCATAAAAACATCTGTTTAAGTTTTAATGCTGACTGTAGTTACTGGGAAATAACTACCTATTTCTCCCGTTATTCAGGTTTTATGGTTTGATGACGGAATGCTGGCAGGAAGGACCCACACGACGACCACGCTTCAAAGACATCCACAGCCGCCTGCGAGCGTGGGAGGGGCTGTCTTCCCATGCCAGCTCCAGCACGCCCTCTGGTGGAGGAGGCAATGCCACCACCCAGACAACCTCGCTCAGCGCCAGTCCCGTCAGCAACCTCAGCAACCCCCGCTTTGCCACCGCCGCCGGGTACCTCTACCCCGCCCAGGCCATCCCTGCACCGGGACAGATGGGTCCGATTCCGGCCTGGACGCCGATGGCTGTGCCCCAAACCCATCAGCGCTTCATCCCCGTCAATGGATACCCCATCCCACCGGGGTACGCAGCCTTCCCAGCTCACTTTGCAGCTCCGGCTCCGCCCACTAGAGTAATCCAGCACCACCTGCCGCCTCCTAAGAGCCGCTCGCCCAGCAGTGCCAGCGGCTCCACCAGCACGGGTCACGTCAGCGGGGTGCCTTCCACCACGGGCTCCAACCACGAGGCCAACACGCCGCTGCTGTCTCACTGCGTCATGCCGGGAAACGGCGGAGGGCAGGGCCAGGTTTACGGACAAGTTTCCCAAAAAGGGGTGACGCAGATTGACCACGGTTCGCAAACTGCAGCTCTACTCACTCCGGACTCTGACATGCTGATGTACAATGACTCGGTCATCACCGCAGACCTGTAAACAGGCAGAGGTATGTTCACTCTCTTCCCATACATGAGAAGCTCTGCCTCTCAGCCAGGGAGCGGGAATCACAGTTCATCTTTGGTCAAAGTGAGACCAGGCAGATGCAGACTTGTACACACTGCTGGTTGTGCAGAAACAAAAAAAACAAAACAAACAAAAAACTTTGCTGCAACTGCATAAGTATTGCAAACAGATGTCCGACTTTCCTTACTGTTTAATGTGTACTTATTATCATGGCTTAACAATGTTACTATGGTAATCTCTGTAAATACAGTACATAAAAGTGTTGTGTGAATGATGAAAATACGTATAAATATATATTCAAAAGAACTTTTTAAGACGAGCAGTGTGATGGTAAAACAAGAAAAAGTAGCAAGTCCACCCTGCATCCGTTTAAACAGATTTTATTTGACCGTGGCAGTGAGTCTCTGTCTCTCTTAATGGACTGTTTCATACAGAGACATGAACATTCTTGAGACTTCCTTTGGGTGCCTTGCAGCTACGCTCCTGAATACACATACCAACTCAAGAAATAAAATGGTTAGTCAAGCAAGACCGACTGTTGGCTTCCAGTGAGAAGATCAACATGCTGGTTTCCTACTCCACCCTTTGGATTCAGGACTCAAGTGTGTCTGGTTCTGTGCCTTCCTGAGAGCTGGCAGTTCTGCAGTGAAATTTAGATGGCATCCACTGGGATGGAGCTCATGTTTTATTGTCAAGGCCTTTCAACAAAATCACAGAGGGCATCCCATTTAATAACATATCCTAGAAAATGACAGCTGAATGTTTTCTTTTGTTTTAGTTTGTTTATCTGCATTTTCAGCATGAATGACACTTTCTCTTTGTAAAAAAAAAAAAAAAAAACATCTTCCCCTCTGCTTAAACTGACCTCAGAGTTGCTCAAAACAAAGAAGTTTGTTGCATCAGGATCCAGATAACATGCATCCTTTACATAGCTAGCAATTTTGTTGTTGGATATAGATTTAAAGGAGGTAGTTTAGTTTTTTTTAAGAAAGCCATTTTTGTCATTTGATTGTAGTCAGAGTCATCGTAGTTTGGAGAATTAGAAAGAAATTCTCATGGAGGAGTCAAACTTCCAGCTAATCAAAATGGGAGCCATACTGGTCTGAATTTCAACAATCTAAACTCAATTATAACATTTTTGCAATTGATCCAAGACACGTTTTTTTTTTTTTTATGACGTTGCTGTTTTCTCAACCACAAAAACACTTTATCAGCCTCAGTCAAATTAAATTGTAGTTGTGGGAAAAAAATGTTAAGAGAATGTTTAGGACAGGATAGAGAGAGAGAGAAGATCTATTAGCAACTCTTGGTGGACTAATTTCAACAGCAATGGGATCGTTTAGCAGGCACAGTAGCAGTTAGTGTAATGCAGCTACACATTCAAATTATATAAATCAAATTACATTTTTTGTTAGGAAAATCTGAGATGTAAAAAGACTTTAAGAAAAGAAACTTTTGAAAGTGGTGATTGTTGAATTAGGTGTAATTGTATTTGGCAAAGGGCAGTTTGCTTTCCAAATGCTTTATACTGCTTTGTGTTTTGACCAGTTGGAAAAAATTGTTTTTTGTTGGGGGTTTTTTGTACTATTTCTCCCAAGTTGGCAAAAGTTGGTGAAGTGAAAACAATCTTGAAGAAAAAACGACAACAGTTTTAGACCAAAAAAACAACAACAACAACTAGCTTTTATTGTAGTTTTACATTTTATTCATAAGGAATGTCTTTGGTATTTCTGAGGGGATTTACTTTTAGAAATCGTTGCAAAATCTCCCATTGAACTAAAAAAGGGGAAAAAAAATGACATAGTCACAGCCATTTTCCTCGATGTCCCACTTTCACAGGAGTTTGTCTTCAATCTCCTATGAGAGCATACAAGTTGTCTTATGTTGGATGTTTTCTGTTAACTTACCTCCTTAATGAGATTTTGTTTTTCTGTTTTATCAAAATTGAGATTTCTTTGACCACATTAAATAACTTTGAAAACTAAACTATCCCTTTAAACTCTTATTCCAACACAGCCATTTAGATATTCCTTTTACTGAACATGTTTTGATGCCTTATTTTAAAAAAGTAAATCATTGCTTTCCAGACTGTAATTGTGCTTCTTCACTATTATTTTTTACGTTTTGAGACAGGAATTATCATCCAGGATTGAAATGTTGGAAGTTGAATTGTAAAACACAAAGTGCCTCTACCAGATGACGTCACTTAGTAACATTTTAGGGTCTGCTGTTTATGTGTGAGAAACGATAGTGTTGGATGTCATCATGTGTTTGAGAGGGGTTTTCTGGCTCTGAAAGATTTTTTTCATTGATTACATTCATGCACCACATTCTGTTAATCTAGCATTTAGTGTTTTGGCATGCAGGGTAACAAGTAAGTGACCCAGGAATCGCTGTGGTGGAAAAACAAATCATTTCAAATATGTCAAGTTTTCTCCACATCTGTATTTATTTTCAATGTATTGAAAAATGGCTTAGATTCTCTCTGATATTTTTTTCCAAAATGAAGAAGTGTGTTGTGTAAATGGTGAACTCTGTCCTCTCTTTTTGTTGGGTGGTAATGTCAATTAATTACTAAATATGAAGCCTTTGTTGAATTTTTTTAGGGCTTATGATACCTTGAGAAGAAGTTTATCATTGATTTTACTGTCAAAAATCTGTATGTTCAGACAGATACACTCAGCTGTGTGTGTGCGCAAATGTGTGTGTCAGACTATCAGTCAGCTGCGCTTGAGAGTTTTAAGTGCAGCACAGGATTTTTTACTAACAAAATAACATTTATATTAATGCAGATGATAAATATTATTCTGTATTTACTTCGAGGTTTATTCGATCCATTCAGTGTCCTCTTACTTCTTTAACTATTTCTACATTATGAATTTCAATAAGAAACAACTGAATTAACTGTCCATAAAAGCATTTTCCACGTTTTGGAAATTTTTAATGTTTTGAAGTACAATTTTATCTCTGTCTAAGAAGTCTGTCTTCTTTTTGTTTTTATTTTGTTTCTGTTTTGTTTCTAAAGTAGACGGAGCTACCTAAACCTGAGTTTGTTCACTTCCACCACGTAACGGATGTGTGAGTGCAAAAACCACTTGTACACAAGACTGTGAATCTTTATCAAGTCTATTTTTGTTTTGTTTCGTTGGCGAAACCATCATAAATCTGCCTTTTTATTTTTGTCATTTACTTCCAAGAACCAACACAGATTCATATTCAAATAAGGTTTACTCGCATATTGACCAAGCTAAGCCTTATCTTTGTAATTTGTCTGAATATTTTTGCACAGGTGTTTTTGTATTGCAAAAATCATTATTATTATTAAATGATGTTGGTTAAAGTTCTCTCCGAGTTCTTTGTAAGTGTAATGTAAACACAAATCCACAAGGTGTCAGCAAATTTCCATGTCCATGAATTTTCCTGTTTTTGCTGCGGTGGCCATTATTGGACAGGGGGTGGCGCTGTTCAGCTGTTTAAAAAATGTTGGCCTCTGAGCAGCTGGAAATGATATTAGAGCAGAAAGAACGTAACCACATTGGGGGAAAAAATCTAGTGTAGTTTTTCTGCTGTGCTTACTCATGCGTGATTTTATTTGTTAAAGCTCAGGCAGAGATGCTTTTTATTCGACCTGTAAACAAAGATTATACGCATTTATAGGTATCCGTTGCAGTGTTAGAATAGAAAATGTTTCACTACAAGTTCTTTGTTTATGATTGATGTTACACTCCACAGAACAAAAGTTAAATGTACGTTGTCTAATTCTTGACATTTTTGGCCTCATGTTAGTTTATCACAACTTCCAATTTCCATTCTTTTGTTTATAATAAAAAGAACTATACAGAAAGAGGATTAAAAAACAAACAATCCAAAGAACATCTATAAAATTAACTAAAAAAAAACGGATGGTAAAAAAAAAGTACATAAACTTAATCTAACTTATCTTATCGGTTTAATATGCTTCAGTCATCCCTTCCCCAGTTTCTCAAATGTATTCAGTTCAAATCTGCAGAAAGTGATTGGCTTTTCCATAGCATAAATATCAGGCACTGCATCGATCCAGATCTCCTTATTTAGTGTTTCTGCCTCAAACAATTTCCTTGATATTCTCTTTTTTCCTACTTCATTGGAAGTTCTGGTATCTTAAACAAGAAACAAATGCATTACCAACTTCTAAGAGAATAGTTCTTAAACAGGATGAAATTTCCCCAAATGTATCTCTTCTACCTCAGCATACACGTGCCAGGCTCCCTGTATCGCCTGAGTGATGAATGTTAAATGGGTGTGTCCCTCTACAAATGTAAATAGTTAGAGCAGACACTCCTTTCTCAGTGGTGACACGCGAGCCTTGAGGGCACAATGTGCTGTAGAACCCCCATTAGGCCCATTGAAGATGGTCTTTAATGTGCTTTATGTAGCAGGAGGATCAACATGCTGAAATATTTCCATAGAAAAAGGATTTATGGGAATAACAGAGTATTAAAGAGAGAGATCAACGTCTAGAAAAATAATTCATACCCCCTTGAACTTATTCACCCCATTACTCTGACACCACAAAATACAATCCAGAGCATCTAATTGTACTTAAATAGTAAGTTCCGTGCAATTGTGTGTGATTTAACCTTTATAGATCCAGCTGTCCTGGTAAGACCTCAGACTTGAATAAACAGCATCATGGAGGCCAAGGAACTCGGCAGACAGGTCAGGAATAAAGTTGTAGAAGTATGTAAAATAAACTTAAGATTTCAAATAATATAAACAACTGTAAACAACCTTTAAAAAGATCTCCTTCCAGTTTTACTGGTCTTGATCCATTTTTCTGAGAACAATCAGCAAAATGTCAGTGACTAAATGTGCAGGAGATACATCTGACATGCTCCCAAGAATTGAAGGTGTTTCAGCAAAGTATCAACTCAGGTGGAATGATGCTGTGCTTAGCTTGTCTGGGAAGGATGAGGAATGCTGCCACAACAGAAATGGGGTCAGAAAACCATGGAGTTTAACTGTTACCTTTATTAACGTAACGTTAGTAAAAACAAGTTGATCATGTTTTTCTCTTGATGTTATCAGTTAAAGTACCATAGGAACGCATTCAAACTGTGCTTCACTGTATCCATGTCAATCATTTTTTTGGCTTTTTCTTTTTTTTTTTTTTTTTTTTTGTAATGTTTATATTTTTCTGTGTATCTCCAATTTAGGTTCTGCTTCACCTGCAGCACATTCAGTTAACTAGACTCACCTGTTGTTTTTTGTACCGATCATTCCTCCCAACTTCAACACTTTATTTTCTTGTTGCTAGTCATTGCTGGAATCTTCTGTTTTTCCCATTATATTTCCAGTTTTTCCCTGGTTCTGTCTCAAGATTTGGATTTCCTGCTGCCTTCGTTCTTTTGTGTTGTAAGTTTTGTAATTTTTTTTATATATTACCGAACTTCACCTTTTACATAATTCTGCCTGGCTCATGCCTGGTGCTCAGTCAAGTCCCAATGACAACACATGACACCATCAACTGAATCCCCAATTAATTACACCTGTGAGCCTGTATGAAGACCTTTTGATTTAAAAATAAAGACTTTGAATGCACAACCGGGTGTATTGGTAGCAGGGGGTTGAAATTCAAAGATTCTGTTTCGCTGCAGCCTCGGTCCGGTCAGATATGTCAGATGGCTCTAACAAGCCGCTGACTGTTGGGGAACATGAGCTGTTTTTGTCCAAGGGGTTGACAGGCGCTTGACCTACGCTGTCTGCGCTGCCACACAGTGACCTTAGAGAAGGGAGGAGGAGGAGGGGAGAAGTCTGTGAATGATGTGAAGTGAACTACCAATGAATAGTTTAATTTACCCAACCATGGACTTTGACAAAGCTTAGGTCCATCATAAAGTCTGTCTTTTCATTTGCCCTTATAAGAGATTTTTTTTTCCCATTTGCAAATCATCAAATTAAGTTGTTCATGTCATGAATATTTAAACAGATTATAAAAGTAAAGACAAAAACAAATTTAACTGAACAGTGACTTTACTTGACTTGTCAGTGATGCAGTTATCAAGTAATCATTTTAATTAGTTATGCTGGAGCAGAGACATTCAAAACATGCAGGACAATGATTCATGTGAATAGAATAAAAACAAAACCCACAAATAGTTCTAACAGTCTTTCCTAAGTCAACTATTCTAATCAACTGGGACTGAAAGATTGGTACTTCAAAAAAGATGTGGGTTTGCCACCAGGATATGGTGAATTTCAGACAGACAGATGTTAAATGTTAAAAGAAAATTTTCTTTCATTACTTGCTGGAGAAAATGACCCAAACTGGAAAATAGATTCTTAGATTATTTTGTATAATACTGTATGTGCTGAGCAGGAAACGCACCAAAACACTTCTTATAGTTTCTTCAACTGCACTAGAAATGTTTTCAATGTGTTGATTTAGTAAAACCGGAGTAGAACAGAGGGAATTTTTTTTTTCCTGTTTGAAACACACAGAGACCTAATTAGATCTATGTGCCTGCAAACACACAGTCTTATTAAATTAGTTGAGTTAAAGGCTACATTTCACATTCCATGAAGTTAAAGTTCTGTTGCGTCATTAGAGATACACATCTTAGAGCATGGGTCATTTGGTACACACATAACGTGTGTGTTATTTACAGTCTGGGAGTGCATAAATGGCTCCTGGATTAGGTTCAAAAATGGCGCTTGGCAAATAAATCTCCCCTTAAAATGGTGCAAATGCGTATAAAAAAGTATGTTGCAGTCCAAGATAATAAAATAGCAACCATTTGTGCAAAAAATGACTTTCTTCCTGCCTAATTACATTATGCTACAAAAATAATAATCAGCAAGTAAATATACTTTTAATCTGCAGTGAAATGAACAGATTTCCACTCCCTCAGTTCTTTTCTCTCCTCCCAGATTCGTACCCTCCACGCCTCTCTCCCTGCTCCAGTCAGACTCTATCTAATAATCCATCCAGCTATGCTGTGGAATGGAGGCTAATGCGTTCCATCTGTGTGCGTCAGTGGAGGGGCTCCAAGGGCAAGGAAGGCCTGCCACTCTTTATTCAATCCCCTTTCTCTGCTTCAGCGCATTTCCAGCAAAACGTTCAGTCTGGTTCCACTCAACTCTAAAATCTGGGATCTGGCTCCATGTTGGGGCCCCACCTAGCCTGGGGCACATGGAGGGAGGATTGGCTGGATCCCTGGATTTGTTCTCCATGGATCCTAATGATTTTTGGAATAAACCAAAGGGTCGGTTAATAACCAGAAGAGTTTGATTTTAAGAATATCCTGAATAGCAAAAAGCTTGATCTCAGCTATCCTTCCAGCAACCCCCATCCTGAGAAGATTTACGGCATTTGAGGACAACGTTTGATGAAGCGTTGAGCAACAGTCTGTGCTGAAACTTTCATCAGCTCATATTTTATGAGCTTAATTTGAGACGGATAGTGTGGTAAACAGCACAGTTAGCTCATCAACTGTCCACGCATGCTTCACGTTATTGAAATTCTCACTGTTACCATAAATCTAATGTGACAATACGATTTCAGTTTCATAACCAGACATAATCATTTTCAAGTTGTTTTCCCAGTTTTTTCTGTTGTCATCCATTATTTGATGACCACTTTTGCCCAGACCATCCTCTTCATACATCTTTGATATTCCTAATGTCAGACCCATGTCCCAGAAAATGGGAGATATGTTCTCCCAGAAGACTTTTAGTAAATTATTCTTCTGACTGACAGGACAAGACTAGAACCTTCTGGAACGTCTCCATCTCACTGCATTTTATGAACTAGCTCAGTTTTTCAGAAAAAGACCAAAATGGAGACAATCAAGCATGGTGGTGATGGTGTAATGGTCTGGTGCTGCTTGGCTCCTTCAGACTCTGGGCAGCTTCACAGAACCGTGAATTCTGCTCTCTATTGATGAATCCTGAAAGAGAAAGTTTGGTTTGCATTGTGAAGCAGAACAGTGATACAAATTACAACGGCAAATCCACTAAAAACAGAAAAATTAAGCCGTTGCAGTGGCCTAGTCAAAGTCCAGACATACTTTCGATGGTCAAGGAACACTTGATAGTGGTTGCTTGCTCCAAATGTGGTACAATGTGAGCTGTAGGAGGCAATTACTTTTCACAGTGCCAGGTTGGTTTGGATTGCTTCTGTTTCTCTTAATGAATGAAACGAATATAAAACAGCTTTTTTATTTACATTTATTAGACATATTTGTTGGATACGAAATATCAAAAACAAGATCTTTTTAATTTAATCACTTGAAATTGGCCTGTTAATGTGTTTTAAACTAAATTACTTACTGGATTTATCATGAATGGACTCTTTGTAACTTCA